GATCTCATTTACACAAGGTTATTTTCATTCGGCAACTCAAGGTAGTGTCCGTTAGATAGATTGTTTGGCTTAACTTTAGGCCCTCTTCTCTTTCTTGTAAGCCTACACTTTTTCGACTTCCAACTGTCACAGTAAGTTTTATTTAACCTTTAATTCAAATCTCTCCGGAAGTAGGTAATTTCCTATCAAATTGATGTATTCCAATGCTAAAATCATGTCCCTTCTTGTGACCAGTGTTGCTTCTATAAGAGAGTATCTCTTATAAAATCCCACACGGTATGTTTCATACAGGGTTACAGTTAATTATCCGACGGAACTTTCATACCCAAAAAAATTAACAGACATCACAGGGCATTTGTACGGTTACAGTTTATTATCCGACGGAACTTTCATGCTAAAAAAAAAATAAAAGACATCACAGGGCATTTGTACTTGTATAATTTCACGGGGACGAGAAATGTCTGCAATTTGGAAGATAAATGTTCTGTTTACACAGTACAGTAGTTGTGATATTGCCTTTAAACCTGTGGTGACCACTGATAGAACAGATACCCTAGTAAATATATTAAGTCGCTGGAACAAGGAAGTTGTAGCTTCTGGAAGATGAATCTGTTGAACTGTCACAGTTCATGGTTGACCAATACATCTTCTAAATCTAAAACTAAATCAAGAGTTATCTCTGAACTTTGACCTGCCGTCGAAATCTTCAGCTCATTAATTGTGATTGATAACCAACTTGAGAATAACTGATTGAAATTATCAATATTTCATATTTCTTGAAAACTGCAGACGTGGTTTCTGTCTTTCCCTCCTCATTTATTACAAATATTATGATTTGCTTTGTTATATAAGATTAAAACGACGTATAGAAGCGAGGAGCACATATAACAAAACACAAGATAATATTATGGTATATAACACACTTCTTTAATAAGGTTTGGCACGTGTATATTGTGTTGAAACGTTATGTGCCCAACCTTATTAAAGAAGTGTGTTATATTCCATAATATTGTCTGTTGTTTTGTTATATACTTTGTTATAATTGTACGGTTACGTGATAAATTATCACTGTTGGTGAAAGATTCTATAGGGCTGTATATTTTTCAACAAAAAGTCTTAAGCTCAAATTTGTCGTTGAGTTTTATCATGTAAAATTTTACACTTGAGTCGAATTTTTATTACAGATTTATTTGTGAAACGGGATCCATCAGGAATTCTCAGATCTCTAGCATATCTTACTAACTTTCAAGACCGTTCGTTAACAATATTTAGGTAGGTCATGATACTCTTCATGAAAACTTGATGCCACTCTCCATTTAACACTGTTTTATATGAGACGAAACTTTGACCATGTATACGA